GCTCCGCGCCCGCTCCGGCGCCCGCCGGTGGCGCCGAGCCCAGCGCGCACCTGTGGGCTCGATACCAGGACATGCGGAAACTGGTGCACGGTGAGTGAGCCGGGAGCGGGACAAGCGCCGGGGGTGTAGCTCTCGCGGCGGCACACGCGTGCCTGGGTTTCGGACAGACGCACCGAGCGCCAGGGTAACGCTCCCGAGCCGTCCTGGGCATCGTTCCTCTGGGGAAGCGCCATGGTGGGGCTCGCCGGAGCCTTGGAGCCCCACGGCCGGGCAGCTCTTAGGGAGAGGCTCTGGCAGGTGGTCCTGGGAGCCTCGGGACACCGGGAGGCTGGCGAGCGCGAGGTTTGTTCCTCCGCTCAGTTTGCAGGAGCTCAGAGTTCCAGAAGCGGCCGCCGGAAGGCGGGGCCCCAGAGACTTTCCTCAGGGTCCCGCCTGCTGGGATACCGCTGCGGAAACGCCCCCAACCTCTTGTTCTCTTCAGGGCCCTTAGCTGGGGCGGGATTACTGGGGACAAAGCCAGCCGGCCGGCGGCGCAGACTGGAGCGGGCTCCTAGGGACTCCCGACCCAAGGATGCCGACTGGACTATTCGGACACCTCTAGATTCCGCCCTGGAGTCTGGCACTGTGAGCCCAGGAGGGGACGGTGTTGGTTGGAGTCGCCTGGGTCCCCTGGAATCCAGCAGGGTTGTTCCTCTATCCTCCCTCAGCAAAACGAGCTGATGAGGCCCAGGGCACCCTGGTGAGGCCAGAGGTCTGGGAGGGGTGGATATTTGTTCTGGTCTCTGGGGCCCTGCCGTTTTAGCAGAATATGTGGTTGGGTCTTGGCCCCATCGCTGACCAGCTGGGTGGCTCATCAAGCCTGGCCCTTGGACCCTTGGTGTTTTGCATCATAAAGTACAATTCTTGAGCCTCTGTCACAGGGTTGTGGTGGTGACTCGGAAAGAGGCCAAGAAGGGACAAAGGAGCTTCCAGAGGAGCCCCCCAGGGGTGACATGGCTTTCATTGTTTGATAAGACAAAGTGATCCTGTCTGGAAGATTCCAATTGACTGAACGAGGGCTTCTACTCCAGCTGTGCGGAGACCTGAGAGTGGTGGGTGGACAGGACTCACCTTTTGAGAAGCTGAAGGCAGAATAAAACCCCTGAGGAATGGTACTTTTGAAGCCATTGAGTCTCTTGTCAGGACCATCCCCACCACACACACCCCCTAGTGGACAGGGCACACTTGGGAGTGCTGTTTAAGGAGATAGTTTTGCTCTGGCCCTTGAGAAGACCCCCCTGTAGAGCAGCCTGAGAAGCCTGCCGTGTAGGTGTTGGGAAGAGATGTAGGGAGGTTTAGTGGGCTTTATTTATCACTCAGGGCCCACCTAGATCTTAAGATCCTCACAGAGACACCCCCCCGCAAGCTCCTCTTGCTGTGACAGGGGCAAGGTTGTTTCCAAGATGCCATGATGAGTGCCAGGATGGAGCAGCCTTGCACCCCTGAGTCCTGACTCTCCCCTCTGGGTTTTCTTGGGGGAGATTCCGGGCATTGAGGTATGCTGATGCCTATGGGCAAACTATGACAGAAAGCCTGGCCTGCCACCCCCACCCTCGCCCCTGTCTCAGCATGGTGACGTTAGAAGGCTAGGCCAAGGGGCAAAGTGATTGAGGCAGTTGGGTGACCCAAATTCACATCTCAACTCCATGGGCTACTGCTAGATGGTTTGGAGCAAGTGACTTCACCTCCCTAAGCTCCAGTTTCTTCCTATGGACGATGGAGGAATAAATATGACCACCTTACGGGACTGGAGTTGGGATTGAACAAGATGAGCCTCTAAGGCATCCAGCAGCAACTGGGTGGTGGCCCCCACCGAGACTCTCATGGCTGCCATGAGGAGGAGTTGGCCTGGAAGCTGGGGGCTGGACAGTAAGACCAGTGGACTTGAGGGGCCAGTGTGGGTGGAGGGGCATGTCTCCTCTCCTGGCCCTGTGCAATACCACAGCCCTGCAGAAGAAGGTGGGACCTTGTGGACCCTGGAGCTATGATTCTCAGTCTAGAAGCTGGGTTAGGAGACCAGGCCTGTGGGCTGTTTCCCTGTCCTGCTTTGTTCCTGGGAGGATTGTCCATCACTGAGAAGGAAGAGTAGGCACGAAAGCCTGGACTTGGTCAGAACTCTGTGTGAGCAAGGGGCTATACTGCCAAGCAGACCTTCCCCTCCTAGGGAGCTGCTGAGCATTGTACCAGGAGTCACAGTTGGCACCCAGAAACTCAGGACGGTGGGGAGAGACATCTCAGAAGCAGTTCCCTAGAGAGCTGAAGTGTCTCATGTGTGCCCAAATGAGGAGTGTTCTGTCTGCACCCATAAGTCTGTGAAGCAGCTGCTCCACCAGGCCTGGGGCCACCAGAGGAACCAGCCACACCTGTTCCCCGACTGACACTCTGCACTTGGCTCCAAAGGAAAGGGGGTAGGGGAGGAGCCTGTGTTCCAAAGGGGCCTTCATGGCAAATGTCTGCAGCGTGGCCAAGGGCTTCTGGTTCCAAATTATGACGATATGGCTGAGACAGAAATTCACTGGAGGCTCGGGCAGTTTGGGCCTAAAAGTCTCGGGAGCAGAGCCACCTGAAGCCCCTGCGAGGCAGTGCCTCGTGCACCTAGTCCTCCCTGCTCCCCTCTATCTCCCTGCAACCTGTTTCCTTGAGGGATGTCGGGAACGGGGAAGTGTAGGTTCCAGAGGCATATTGCCCATTTAATCCTACATTTGCCGAGGGTGCAGAGTGGGAATACTGCCCAGAGCGTGTTCTGTATGACCCTCTTAGTAATTCTGTAGGTTGGTACAATTTTTATTCCCCCTTTAGAGACAAGGAAACAGGCCCAAGAGGTGATTTTCCTGAGATCATAGTCATGAGAGGGAAGGGTTGATCTGGTCTCTCTGGCCTCAAAGCCCATGCCCTTTTCCCATTTACCTCACCCACTGCACAGATGGGGAAACCAAGGCAGACTAGCTTTAGATCTTTCGCCTCATCTGCCTCCCTGAAACCCCAGAACGTGCTCTGCGCAGTGTCCCACTCAGCCCCACGGGAGCAGCAAGGGGCTTGGGATGGCTATGACTGTTCTCAGAGGGGAGCAGCCTGGGTAATGGCCCAGAAGCTGACATTACACGTCCAGCCTGTCGTAATTAGCAATGTTCCCTGGCTAGAGGCAGCAAATGTCATTACGTGGGCTGGTGGGCGGCTGAAATCCGATTAAGAGAGGCCTAGCTATGAGGGCTGTGGCAGGTGTGCAGAGCTGGAAGCCTGAGCAGCAGAGGAGCTACCTGATACCCACCATCCCAACCCTACCTTCAGGCAAGATGGAAAGGGTCAGAGCATAGCCAGGTGTCTGATGGGGCTTATGAGAGCATAGGAGGCATGGCTCAGAGCAACTGGTGGGCTGCAAGCGATGGTGTAATTCAGAACCCACAGGGTCCTTATCCCACCCAAGTGACCCTGGGGAGTGACTTCTCTCTGAGCCTCACCGAGCTAAGAGTACCATCCTGAATGTTTCATGATCGCCCTCATCATACTTGCACCTCCTTGTAGATCTCCTGCCTCCTGAGGTCTGCAGTCTCCTGAACCCAGCAGCCATCTATGCCAACAACGAGATCAGCCTACGAGATGTCGAGGTCTATGGCTTTGACTATGATTACACCCTGGCCCACTACGCAGACGCGCTGCACCCAGAGATCTTTAATGCTGCCCGTGACATCCTGATCGAGCATTACAAGGTGAGGCTAGACAGGCAGGGGGCCCAGGTCCTGGAGGCCGGCAGGGCCCAGCTTGGCCTAACCCCAGGCTGGAATCATGGGGCTCCCCTGGGCGGGTGGCTGAATTGATCCCCTGAGGCAGCTGCTCAGCCAGCAGGTCTGGCAGTGCTGCTGGCTCAGGCCTGGCCTGATTCCCCCCAACAGTACCCAGAGGGGATTCGGAAGTATGA